TTAATGGGATGGCGCAACGGCTCTTTCAGTAACTACAAGACCAAATGGCGAGCTTCTGATATCATAGCCATAACGCAGTTGTTAGTGCAATCCAAATTACCGAAAGAAATTCATCGTGCAGTAAAAGGTCTTGACACAATTTCTTTTTGGAAAGCATCCGAATTTAGAACAGCTGCGGAAATAGATTCAATATTTATTTTGCAAAAGCGGGCTATCCGAGCGATATATAACTTGCCCCCTCGTGAATCTCTGAGAGAACTATTTAAAACGATAAATATCCTAACGGTACCTTGTCAGTTTATATATGAAAATATTATGTACGTAAGGAAAAATTTGCAATTATTTGAAAAAAGAAGCGATAGACATAATTTTAATACTAGAGGCAAAGATAGGCTGGCTTTGCCACGATTCCGTCTGTCCAAAGTACAGAAATCCTTTATGGGGTTCTGTGTAAATTGTTACAATAAAATTCCAAGAAGTGTATTAAATCTTAATGAACGAAAATTTAAAACTTATATTCAACGCGAATTATGTAGACAGGCTTACTACAAACTTTCAGATTATATTGAGGATAAGAATGCCTGGCAGCATGTTGGTTCGGCTCCACTGGACAATACTCAAATATGTAGTCAGTAGTTATTAAAATTCTTAAAATTAATGAAACCTTGAATGAGTTTATTTATATAGAAGCATTCTTTTGGATAGTGAGTACGCATATGTGAGCGCCATGTTCGAGACAACAAAGAATTAAAATTTTAATGATAGATTAGATAGACCATCATCTTTTTCATCATCTTTTTATTAACAACTTGTCTCTGCATTGTTCTCACATAGGGGTACAGTAATGTATAAAAAATGTATTATTGGTGAATTGTAAAACAAATATTTTTTTAAAAAGAGTAACGATGGAGTTTCTTGCTCGTTCTTCTCCATTCGAAACTACAATTTGGAACGAGCACCTAGCTTCACTGACGAACAGACTGACAGACTACTATTTTATTTTGACGTTTTCAAAAGTACCTATTTATGGTTTAGTTGGAATAAATGATTTTGATTTGATTTGATTTGAACATTTTTATTGTATCTAGGTATTGTTGTTTTAGAAAAATATTTACAGCCTGATGCTTATCAACATTTTTAACAACTATTTTGCGCAGTTACCATATGCTCCACTGAAGCCTATGCTCACCTACTCTACTTAGCATTGCTGAATCGTTATTTAATACATATATTGAATACTACAGAGAGATTTATAGAGAAGGCCATATGACCAGTAATGTCCATAACCTATGCCACGTAGTAGAGGAGGTAAGGAGATTCGGGATATTATCTTCATTCGATGCCTATCCTTTTGAGAATACTTTGCATCATAAGCGACCTCTGAGGAGTGGCCATAAACCTCTACAGCAGGCTGCGAAAAGATTAATCGAAAAGACTAATATTTCAACTTACGGAAATTGAAGAGGTCCCTCACGTAAACTAACAAACATAAAGACAAAGATTAAAAGATTTGATAAGTTTGATTAGAAAGCAATAAATCAGAAATACACTTTTACAAAACGATTGAACTTGAGAAATATTCAGTAAGCAATGATGGTATCAATTGTTGTTTTCTTACTCATAATGATATTATTGTCAAGCTGCACTGTGTAGTTAATATAAATCAACATTATTATTTGTATGGAACACAAAAAATCTATTTAAACATATAAATACTGGCTCTTTGTGGTATTTGTAGCACCGAAAAATAACATAAACGCAAAAACACCTTCTTCTTATGCCAGTCTGATAAACTCTGGTAGATAATTACGAGAAAAAATAGTTTATAAATATTCCATTTTATAGATTACCATAGGATCGTTATAAGAACAATTCTACTATTAAAAGATTAATTCTTCTGATGAAAGTGCAAGTTGACTTGTCATGCTCTTAAAATGACCTTTTAGGAGTAAATCATCTAATCAAAACTTATTTATAGATAATTTAATCTAGACGCCATTTTTATTAATAGAACACGACGGTAATCGCCATTTTGGTAAAAATTAGAAATTTTGTTAACAATAAAATATGGTATTTCTTCATTTCTAAACATAAAAATACTTAAATAAATCAAATTTTAATTAAAATATATTGTTTGCGTATTTATTTTAACAAATTATAAAAAATGAACACTAGTAATATTGTTTATTATAAAATTATCAGTTAAATTATACGAATATACTAGGCCCGTAAGTTTTTTGAAACTCTTTCATCGACTTTTACGATAAAATTAATTTGGCAATGAATTTACGCCCTCCGTTCGCGCGAAACAAAATTTAGAAGATCAAGAAAAAATATATATTTAATTTCATTTCGCCATTAAAGCTACAACTTAAAATATTTTTAAGTACGGAGTGCCATTAGAAAATAGGAAATGCTTTTTAAAAGAAGTAACTCTTGTTGATATTTTTATTTAGTAGATTTTGATTATTAGTGGTTTTAAAAAAAATCACCACTAGAACATCAGTAGAGTCATGGTGTTATCTTAATGCTGGCTACAAAACTTAATTCCTTTCTTATGTGTCTCTTATTGTGTTCTTAAGGTAGTTTTGTAGATATTCCCTATAGATAAAAATGAATTGCTCTTATCGTTATCTAATGATGAATTCTTATGTTGCTCTTGTTATTATAGTATAGATAGTTGCCCATTTTTACTGAACTCGGTATATAGGATATCTTCAGGATATCTTCAGGGATTATTTACTCTTATGCAAGAATTCTAAGTTTAATTCTATAAAATATCTAATAGTGCTTCACTAGATATACTTGTGCTACTTGGGATTCCCCTTTTAGAATTTAACGTGAGACATAGTTAATATACGCCCACTAGAATTCTCTAACTTTAACGGTATAACATTTAGATTTATATATATTTATGAGTCTAGCGCCTTTTTCACCACCTTCCTATAACTTTTGATATTCATATAATATCAATATACAAAGCTATGTGGCACAAGACTTTTTCCGAGTTATATTATATGTACTTTCTATAATTATTTAGACACCATTACCATACGGTGAAGGAAAACATCATGAGGAAACCTGGACTTCTAATTCCTAATTGTAAGTTTGAAATCGCGAATCCGCCTTGAGTAAGCGTGGTGATTAATATTTAAACCTTCTCGGTGTGAGAAGAGGCCTTTGCTCAGCACTTTTAGGATAATGATTGATGTGGCACATAAGTAATAATAGCGGCATATAAGGTTATACAAATGTTGATGTTGAATATGTAAAATTTATCTTGTTCACAGCAGCTATTTAGACGTTGTGAAATAGGTCTGAAATTTGTCAATATGGGTTTATTAAAATTAAAGAATATATCGTCTCGATGCGATATGTTATGTTACAAGGATGCACAAGAACAAACAAAAAATGTTAGTATTTTTAATTTATCTTTACTCAGTTAATACATTTTTTAAATAAAATACAGCAAGTGTTCTTTATAGGAATTTAATGAAATCAATACATCAATAATATCTACATAATATTTTATAGTTGACAGTGAAAATAGATTTTGATAAACATATTAATGAACAGATTCAGGACATATATAATACTTTCGTGAATAGTTAATAATGCCAGTTGAAAGTTACAAGAACCTTTGTTCTATTTTATGGATAACAGATAATATAACCTATAAATGTATGAAACAGACTATCTAAGAAGAATTGCCAGACTTGTGCATTTTCCAGTGTAATCTTTTGATATTTAATAGATGAAATTTATCTTTAATATAAGTTGTATTAACGCTCAACTTCAACATTTTGCACAAGTCTATTCATTTAAATGTCTATCTACTATGAAAATTGAGCCAAGAGATGAACAAAAACAATTAGTGGAGTAGACTAGGGTCAGTTGCACCATGTTTGGGACAACAAGTAATAAATTACTCAAGGTGAAAGTCTCCTGGGACTTGCCCTTGAGTATCAGGTATCTCCACACCGCGTCGTCTGTTTATGCTCGTTGAGAAACGTGCCCCATAAAATAGTTAGTTTCAACCCTTAATTATAAGTTCAAGGAGTATCTACATAACTTGGACTTTGTACTTAGAAGGTTAATTTCGTAATCATGTGGTTCACAAAAACTTGAACAACTTCTTCTTTCAGCTAATTGTGACCTTAACAGGTTTAATAGATCAAATCTGTAATTTAATTACTTTTAGTATTAATTTATTTTTAGTTTACTGAAATAGCTGCCTCCGCTAATAGTGGTGGTGAAATTCAAAGTAGGCAGATCACGTAGTCTGAATATGGCTATTCGCTTGAAGTAAATGGCTCTAACTCTAGGTAGTAAAAGCCCAAGTTGAAAGCATTTGTGGACAAATTAAGTCGTTTAATCGTTAAGATCTCGGCTTCATAACGAGCTAGCTACGAGCATCCACGTCCAAATGTTCCAACTATCCCCAGTCTCCTGCACTAAAATTCCCTCGACTACTAGAGATATATATTTACATGAATTTTATTATTACATAAAGACAACAAGAACAATGTGGTAAGTGAACATACATAAAGGTATTTGACCATGTACTGGCTCGCGGTTACTTTTGAACTCGCATACTGGTATAATGGTCGATTAAAATAATAAACCTGATACGGAGAATGGAAAAGAAAAAGTATTAAAAAGGTTTTAATTGTTTAAAAACACAAATCAATAAACAAACACACGGTTCAATCACGTTTTTATGTAAAGTCATAGGTGAAAAAAATGTTTGTGACAATTCGGGTTTACACAGGTAGGTAACCTTTGAAATAACTGATATCTTTTTCATATTCAAATAGCTATTTTCTTACAAAATTTCCGATTCCACACTTATATCAAATGAAAATTTTAATAATGTATGTATATCTATCGTGATGTACATTTAAAATGTAGGAATAACTACTACTTGGTATAATTCTAGGAAAATATACATATTGAATCGAACTTTTTTTAAAATCTATATTGGCATAATATGTTGGCGAAATTAAAAATGTGATTTTTAATAATTTTCTTAGAATAGTGAAATCTTTTGGCCATAGCTTTAATTCCTGCTACTAGGCGGAATTTTTATGGTTAATCATCATATGATCATTAGGTACTTCGAATGTATTACGAACGAATTTACGTATAAAAATTTATAGATATGTTCACTATTTACACAAACATAGTTTAACAATACGAAATTACAATTATAATTATATTTTGTAATACCTTTTGTGATGAATTCAGCAGTTTACAATTTACAATTATTACTTAAGCCGTATCTACATACATTTGAAATTGTTAATATAATATTGTCTGCTATCACTCTCCTAGAACTTCGGTCGTTGTGATGTACGCTGTCTGCCTCAAATGCAGCCATAACTGGGTAAGCGGTATTACGGTATTGAACATAAATATTGTATTTCAATTCCAGAGCCGAGTTATCGTGAATGAGGCTCCATCTCAAACCGGTGATCGGAAATTCATCAATTCACAACAGCTTGGTACGTAATTTACATCAAATTTATATTTACACCGTCCCCGCCACAAATACAAATACATTTTACTTAAACAATTTGAACAATTTTATGCGATATTTACATTTTTACAATATTTTTTTTATGAACCACTTTTTGAACTATTTTAACTATATAAACTGCCTATCTAATTACACATTAAGGTTGAAAATTTCATCAAATGGATAAACTAAAGATAACCGAAGAAAGATATGTAACATTATTTTGGTCTTAACTCCTTCACCAGCACTAGTTAATCCATCTAATAACAAACGTATTCTAGTTTAAGCTCGCGAGATCACTAAGTTCACAATCACTCACACTTACTCACAGTTAGCATCGTTAGCTAATCAGAGAAGTTCGTAAGAAGTCTTTAAAAGTTTTATACGAAACAAGTAACGTCAGCGCTCGGCGGTGCACGTCTCAGTCTCTAGTCGTACAGATCTCGCCTAGATACTGTTGAGACGGTGTAGAAGCCGCTGCTGTCGGTCACTTCGTCGGTGCTCTCTGTTAATCAGGAAATATCTATATTTTCCACCTTGTACAGGAAGCGCCGCCGACGCATGTCTCATGATTCCCCATTCGGCGCTATGGTAACCGTGCTGCAGTTGGCGCGCGTGGAGCGGGTCGAACTCCTGCGCAAGCCGACGCCACCGACGGGATTTAATAGAATTAAATTTTCACTTTTCCTTTTCCCATGACAGTTGCAGAAAATTAGCTCTTTCATGCCTTTCCTAAAATTCTTCGATAGGAAAGCGTATAAGAGTGGGTTTATACCGGAGTTGAAGTAGGTGATGAGAAATGTGAGTGGCGTGAGGAGGGTACTGAAGTCGCTGGAACCCTCGTAGCCACTGGACCAGTACTGCCACATCTTCCGTGCGTGGAAGGGAAGGTTGCATATAGCGAAGGTGAGCACGACCACTATGAGCATGCGCACGACCCCACGCCGCGCGCGCAGCACGTTGCGGGACAGGTGGCTGAGGTGGTGGCAGTTGCGTGTCTCGTGACCACGGGTCGCTTTTGAGGTCGTCGTCTTCCCTGACTGGCTGCTGCTCATCGTCACCGCTTTCTGCACATACAATGTTTTATGTTAATAATAACATTATTATAGCCAAAGGTAAGAGTGAATTGGGGCATAATAAGTACAATTTTTGAGAATATTTTGTCAATAATATTATATTCAAAATAACTTGACTAGTAAATAATAATATAAGAGAAGTAACAAAACAAAATTATTCAGGAACTCTGAGGAAAAAAGGAAGTTGGTACCGTATACTCGTATGTAGGTTATTATTATATTGTCAGTACTACCTATAATTATATGTATATGTATAAGTATTTGTATAATATAACGTCTTCTTATGTCCTTGATTACAATGTCACCGAAATACTGAATGAATTTATTTTTGTATTATGCCAGTCAGTTTCGCTTGACATTTATTGTCCATTCTCTGCTTCCTTATTCCTTTTACACATCATGTTTGAGTAGGTAGGTATATTACCTATATATTATTATAATTAGCGTAACAATCACAATATCGATGAGGCAGGATACAAGAATAAAAAGTCTATACAATATTTTGATTACATATTCAAAATTATTTGAAAGACTTTTACTTAAAGCCCTCATACAAAATATCATATTTGTTTAACAGCCGAAAGATATCAACTTGAAACCCTGAAACCCTAATTTACCTTCCCAGTTCAGGTCCGAATGTATACGCTGAGCAAATAAACACAGTTATTGCTTGACTCTTGTTTAATATTTATGAAATGTCTAACCGCCTCCCACATATATCACAGTTTGTCTGTTCTGTTTGAGACACGAGACTTCAAGTAGCGTCTTTTCATTGACTGAGAAAATGTTTGCCAAGTAAAGATTTTACGTTGTCAAGGGAACTTCGCCCCTATGAACACTACTTTATTCGTGAAATGGTGCGAAAATAATATGTCTACACTTCTACAGCTACACGAATCTGTACTCGTTGGCTCCGCTAATAGGAAATGATTGACGTGTGTAGTAAGTACCTACAACATGTGAAGGTGAAATATTCTTAAGGGAAGTGGATAATATTAATAGGAAGGGAGGGTGGTAAATTATTAGGTTACGCACCTTACTTCCGTCATACCAATTATCGACTATCGGTAGATGTTATAAACGGAATTATATATCTATTTAGTTCCTTTTGTTCTATACTTAATTTATATTTGAAATGATATTGAATTATAATTCCAATTTTAAATGTCAAGTGTAAAACTAAAATAAACTATGCCATTTTTTTACAAAGCCGGCCGCCTAGTGTCTATGGTAAAAGCCCATTCACGTAACTAAACGTTCCGCCGCAAGCCGTGGCGACACAATTCGTGCTCATATCCGCAGCCAGACGATTACACAAACGTTCCCGCTGTTTGTAACCCTCACATAAAACTTTATACCTGCCAAATAATTCCAGAACTTGATCCATAAGATCCGAACTCACAAAGGATTTCAAGATCAAAGCCTTTTCTCAGCGAACATAAGAACAAACTCCAAAATCTTTGCTACGTTTTATGTTCATCAATGCCCGTTGCATGTTTCCAATCGGTCGGTGTACCAGAACATTAATGAATATTTTAATGGTATCATTGGGTGATACATTACAAAACAGGAATTGATTGGTCCAATTTATGCAAATAGGCTTTGAGCACGCTTTCAGGGTAGTGTCAAACCAAAGCCACGGAATAATTTGGCAGTTTGTAGGCGGGCTTCTGTTTTTACGGCTCTTTTAATGAAGTTCCTAAATAGGCTAGAATTTATGTACAAAGAATGAGTAACCTAGTTTCTTATTAAATAATGCCCTTTGCGATGTAGTTTTTGGCAGGTACCTATTGTTCTTAGAATAAACCAGTACGTAGCTACGCACAGCCTGCCTGTCATGAATAATTTCATAGATGCTAGTCGTTCGAATAATAAAGGGCAAACGGACGAAGACAATTAATTAATCAGTCTCCTAGCCTACCTAACTATACCGTACAAAAAGAAACCACAACAAAGAGTACAGACTTGAATAATTTTACGAATCCCAAAGGGTGTAATGTTACTTGTTTTGCAAATTGCGTGAAATTAAAAAAAATGATTTAGTTTTCAGTGGGTTGAGTCAGACATTACGTCAAAGCAGTGCGAGTATATTTCAGTAGATAATTGGAATTTTGTAGATAAACTTTAAACCTAGGAGTAGTAAAAAATAATTACCTTGTCATCATTGGTGCCAATGAGGGTCCGCTGCGTATCATAAGCAGCATTGCCAGATTTTTCTGGACGTGGAAACTGTGTCCCACAGCATTGCACGCGTTCCAAATGTTGCAGCGCATGGGAGCTCTGCCACAGCCCCACCGCGATGCGAGTGTATAAGACCTAGGGACAAATTATTATACAATATTGTAAATACTCCTTACTGAAGGTGATAGAACAGTTAGATTTTCCAAGAAACAAAAAGTGTATGGATATTTTATTAAATTATTATTTTATAACTAGCTTCTGTATAGCGGTTTCACTCGCTGCTCGGCGCCTAAAAATCGTAGTGTGAATTTTATAGCCCAAAGCCTTCCTCGATAAATGTACTAACAAACACAAAAAGGATTATTCAATTCGAATCAGTCGTTCTGGAGATTAGCGCGATCAAACAAACAAAAAACTATCCAGCTTTATAATATTAGTATATAAGTATAGATTTATTAAACACTATTCATAACATAAGTTCTTTAATCGGCTCCTAATATATTTAATCCGAATTAGAACATTTTCTAGGTTATTATACTAGATGTAATTTAGCGACAGAGATAGCTAAATGTAAATATAATAACGACTTATTTATATATCCATGTGTTTACCTGCTATAAAAAGATAAACCTCTATATGATTATTCAATTCTTGGCTGTCCTGAATAAGATAAATTTGGTAAAAATGTTGTACTTATTAACCTACCAAAAATTAGTAAGGATATAAATAATATCAAAACCTACATATATCGATGAGATATCCTTTGAATAGTATAGGAAACAGATGGATAAAACTAAAGAGCCTTCAAGCAGCATGAGTTTCAAAGGTTCTGAATCTGAAAACTTTTATGTTAACATGATATCTTAAATTCTTTGAAAATTGAGTAAACATATTAACATGTTTCCAGTAGTTTTCGAAAAAAAAACATATTCTTAAAATTTCTATTAATATCTTCCATATAATTAGTGGTCTGCTCACATAAGCCATATTTCGGAAATGTACTAATGAAGTTTTTAGAACTTCATATATTGCATACAAGTACCTAGTAAGTTTCACTAAAATTTTTTCATGGTTTTACACTTCAGAAAATTTATAGAAAACCGTGCCTCGTAAACGCTTCTAAACGGCGAAAGATAAAAACAGAAAAGTTTGCTACACCCAAATATTCTGCGATGCTGTGGCATCACGAAGCTTGGTTATGGCACGTCAATAACATGAGCCACCCTGGCAAGTAGCAATCCGACTTTTTTCGAGTTACATGTACCTTCTAGGGTTACTTAAACACCACTGACATTCAGTGAAGGAAAACATCCTAAGGAATCCTGGACTTATAATTTCTACTTGAAATCACCAATCCGCATTGAGCAACCGATGTGATTAATAATACCTTCTCTATGTGAGAAGAGACATTTGCTTAGCAACAAGGCTAGTTTATAGATGATATGATGTGATGTGAATATAAAACAAACAAAATTGCCGCATTTTTATTAAGTACCTACGCACAAAATAATTTCGGTTTTCTTTCTCAAGTCTTTAGTTTTTATTCCTGTCATACCTAGGTCTTCATATTAAGTCTGACAGGTTTTACGTGACCTGTCAAGGTGAACGGTTTTTGATATCTACATAATATGAAAGACCGTGGAAGTCAAGAACATATATATCCGTGTCTCTTTCACAGGAATATTCGGGCCGGATATTAGTTTTTACAGCATAACTATAGTACAAGAATCAATCGTCAGACCCTTTTAAAATAGAAAGATACGATTTTAGGAGGACGAATAAAAAGATTTTGGGACGCAATAGTAATTTTATTGTTCTTAATATTGTGAAGATTGTAGTTTAGGCTTGGTATTATAGTGTGTTTAATGAAAGCTGACTCAATCGATTTTATGTGTGTAGGTTAATAAAATCTGTATTGAAATAATTTGTTAGTGTCATGCTTAAGTGTGGGAGAGCCATGCTTCGGCACGAATGTGTCGGCTCGACCGGAGTGATACCACGGCCTCACAGAAGACCGACGTGAAACAACCACAGCGTTGTGTTTCGCCGTGTTACCGGAGGCCCAATCCTTCCCCGCCCCCAATCCCTCCTCAATCCCTAAATCTCCAAATCCCTAATCCCTAAAAGGTCGGCAACGCACTCGTAACTCCTCCGTTGCAGGTGTCCATGGGCGGCGCTGATTGCTTACCATCAGGTAATCCGTCTGGTCGTTTGCCGACCAATTACATAAAAAAAAATTGTACTTGACGAATGTTATGTATTTGAGTTTAGCGATCAAGATTAATCAATGATCTCCGTATTTTCAACTCCTGGTTCAGGTTTTCATTGGAATACGATTAATGACGGCATACTACGTATTACAGTGCGTCGCGTTTCACCCACAAATCATAGACCTATCAAACCAGTGCAGATGGGGTCGATATCCAGGCGGGGTTGCGAATACTAGAGCAATGATGTACCGTGGCCCAGGTGTGGAGCAGGAACGGTTTTAGAACTCAACACTCCCATTCGTCTCAAAAAACAAAAAAGACAGTTCCTCCAAATAACATCTAAGTCGTAGCCAAAGAGTTGAAACTGAATTAAGTTATAAACTCTCATAATTTGTTTCATTAAAGTTGTCATTTAATCACATTAAATTACAGTGAAAAGTTAAATCTTTTATTTTAATTATAATGACTTAAAAAGATTTTCTTTAGAAATATGTCAAAAGCATTTTTTTTTAATTAATGCAGTTAAATAGTTTTAATCATACCTTTATTTGCTTTAAGAATTTAAGAAAATTTACGAAGAAAATACAACAAATTAATATAGGCCTTAAGTCTGATGTTGTGTTAAGAAGTTGATTAAGTTTGTTTTATTAATTTTAATATGGCACGCCCATTGCTCTCTAGGAACCCTAAAGTTTCAAAGACCAGCCTGGATGCCTAATTAATTGAAAAATCTCACTAGAAGTTATTAATTTTGAGAAAATAAATTGTATATTTTAGACCAATTAATAACGTATAATTTATTAAATGTAAAATCAAACTTTATGCGCTGATCATTAAATACATTTTCATACATCAAACATAAAACTAAAGGAATTCTATCAAATACAATAAATATTTGAACTAAATCAATCCTTAACGAGGCGATTGTCAAGTTCGTTCCTATCCTAAATAAATAATAAAGATAAATTCGTTTACTGTTAAGTATTCAATGTAAAACCTAAACCGAAGTTCCAAAATCGTTCACTGGACAGTAAATTTCTGAGAAGAAGATATTATTCATTGAAACTAGTTCTTTTGTCTTCTTAGTAAAATTGTCGCCGTTTAAGCTTTATGTCTTGTTTCCAAGGGCTAGTATTTTCAAGGCCGATATTCTGCATAATGATAAGGACTTAAGGTTAATTTTAGCATGATAGAGGAATTTAGTTATATAAAAATACAATCTTCTATAAGAATATCTGATTAAATTAATAATGTTATATGGCTGGCCCCAACCACGCAGCCTACTAAGAAGCAGATAAGAATAATAATTAGAGCTCCTCGCGATGCTCGAAACAACTCGAGTTATCCTGTCGATCAACAAAATGAGTAGTACACTTATTCGAATCTACCTGTTCGTTATTTTCATCTTCATTCCTCGATGTCAGAATTTTATATCTTAGTTCAACGTGTTTTGTTTTAGTAGCTTATATGTATTTATAAAATAAAATACCATATGCTTTACAGTGTCGGTTTACTAAGCTTTTCAAACAGTAGAATAATATATCAAAGTGATGCGATGACGTCTTGTTTTCTTACCAGCTTGAGAAAAGATCTAATTAAGACTTTGCTGTTTTTCATTTGTTTCTAGGAAGCAAAGCAAAAAGAAAAATTAAAAATATGTGTCTTGTTATTTGCTATTGTTGTTTAAGCACTTTTGTTCCTATGGAGGACAATTATAAAATTGGAAAACCTGTATCAAAATGCAGACAGTATATTTGAATAGAATAAGAGGCAAATTAGCAATCAGGTCAAACCTGGTGGTAAGTGATTAGCGTCGCTAACATACAACAAGGAGACCAGGGTTGCTAAGGCCTTTCAAAAACTAAATAAATACGTAAATTATTATACTTAACTTTTTTATGTTATAAATCGGCAAACGAGCAGACGGATTACCCGATAGTAAGCAATCGGCGCCGCCCATGGACACCCGCAACACCCTAGGAGTTACGAGTGCGTTGCCGGCCTTTTGGGGATAGGGGTTGCGGATATAAGGATCGGGAAGGGATAGGGGAAGGGGTGGGATTGGGCCTCCGGTAACCTCACTCACACGGCGAAACACAACGTTGTGGTTGTTTCACGCCGGTATTCTGTGAGGCTGTGGTATCACTCCGGTCGAGCCGACCATTAGTGCCGAAGCTTGGTTCTCTCACACAGTTTTATGAAGTAAAGTTCTTTCGTCGCCCTTTCCAAGAAGATATCGGTAGGTATTTTAAGTCAGAGCCGTCAAACCCTTTTCTGCCAATTGATTTACAATTAAAACGGTAATAATTTATGTACAGATAAGGATTCATTTAAATTCAAAGTCTTTTACAATTTCATGTAATCGCCGGTGGCTGGCCTACAATTCCCTAATTATATGTACCTATATATATCTAACTAGATAATGCTGCTCGTCTCCTTTTGCTTGCAGAATGATGTATATGTAGCCTAGTGATGTATTATAGCACTCAGGGACATTATAGCTCTCTAGGACATTGTATCTATCTGTGAAAGAATTTCATAAATTCGATAATTGGTTCCAAAGATTACGCCCTAGATACTAACTTAAAAATTTTACCTCTTCATAATATTAGTGTAGATATTCTCTAACGAACTTTTAAATTAAGTTAAGTAGATTGACGTAATGCCATTATTTAGCCAGAAGCCTCGTTTCAGGCCTAAACCTTACTTAAGTTCTCGGCGTTAAGTAAAATTCCCACTACAAGCTAGTCACCTGTAAAGCTAACCCTTATTTTTTCTACTTTTACAGCATATACCAGTTTTACGTAGAACATATTTTTTTTATAAAAATAATAAGGTTCTTTTTTATTTATTGAGGTATATATATTACTTATCCATATTAAGGAGACATGTTGTTTCATCATAGGAATTTAATTTGAGGGACTT